GAGCCCCAGAAAGAGGCTGTCAGCCCCAGAAAGAGGCTGGCGGGTGTTGCAGGACCAGGGAAGTACAGGGAGGTGAGGACGGAACCAGGACCAGAAGCGGTGATCCTGGGGCCCAAGAAAGGCACTGAGTTGGTCTGGGCAAGAAGGGTCAAGAAGCAGTATTGGTTCTCCAGGTGTCTGGGGCCCCAAGACTAGGAATGACGCAGGGCCCAAACTAGGGGTATAGAACGGTGGGGGGAATGGAAGGGTGAATGTGGCTTAGGGAGTCCCCGCGTGGAGGGCTGTGCTATAGACTTACCCCAAGAGGCCTGAGGATAGTAGTGCAGGCTTATGGGCGTGCAGGGATCTCGGGGCGCCAGCTGCTGGGCGTGGTGCCGGTCTCCCACACGTTGCTGGAGTGCAGCGGGTCCAGCGGGCCGCGTCTGCTGGGGTGCACGCGTGTCCTGCACCGCATTGCTATGGGTCTCCGCGTCTACTGGGTGGTGGCGACTCTACTGATCGCTGCGCCCCCAGGCAGGTCCCTGCTTCTCTGCGTTGTTGTGGCTGGCCCGGTCAGGTTCTGTCCCAATTTCCACCGTGTACTCTCTCTCTAAGTTCGACCTGTCAGCTGCCGGGTCACGAGGGGAGGTGCAGAGACAGCGAAAGCTGGATTTCTGTGAGTCGCGGCTTAGGAAGAGACAGCCCTCTCTGGGAAGGCTGGATCATAGGCAGTAAGACACAGAACTCAGCTCAGTCAGTGGTACAGCTCCTTTATTCAGTGACTCAGCTCGGCCCAGGCCTTAGTGATCCAGCTTCAATTATTGAGGGAAAACCAGGATACTTTATACTGAGGGGGTAGTGGTAAAAGCCTTAGCTGATAGGTACTTTGTGGGATGCCCTATTTACATATGGAAATGGGCTCCTGCCAGGCTGTCAGACTGCCTGAAAATCATACAGGAAAAGCTGGCAGTTCCAGAGCCAGCGGCCATGGCTACTTCAAAAGATGAGTCAGGAAGATGCCGGGGAAGGCACCCTGCTGATAAAAGGAGTCTCTGCATATGAAGCCAAGCCCATAGGCTATCCAGACATGGAGAGACTGCTACTTTACACAACAGGGGTCCCCAACACAGGCTAGGAGAGTTAGCCGGTGGTGCAGGCCCAGGGAAGCAGAGAGAGGTGAGCGTGGGGCCCGGACCAGAAGCGGTGCTCCTGGGGCCCAAGAAAGGGACTGAGTGGGTCTGGGTGAGAAGGATCAGGAAGCAGTATTGGTTCCCCAGGTGTCTGGGGCCCCAAGACTAGGAATGGCGCAGGCCCAAACTAGGAGTATAGAACGGTGGGGGGTGGGGGGATGGAAGGGTGAATGTGGCTTAGGGAGTCCTGGCACGGAGGGCTGTGCTCTAGACTTACCCCAAGAGGCCTGAGGATAGTAGTCTTGGGGGTTTTTTTTTGATGTTGTTGTTTTGTTTTGTTTTTTGAGACAAGGTCTCCCTGTAGCCCCAGCTGGCCTGGAACTCACTATGTAGACCAGGCTGACCTTGAACTCACAGAGATTAGACTGCCTCTGCCTCCTGAGTGCTGGGATTAAAGGCATTCGCCACCAAGTCTGGCCTCATCTTTTCATTATTTTTTTTTTTCATTTTGTTAAAAGATCTATTTTTAGCTGGGCGTGGTGGCACTCGCCTTTAATCCCAGCACCAGGGAGGCAAAGGCAGGCAGATGTCTGTGAGTTCCAGGCCAGCTGGGGCTACAGGGAGACCAAAAAAAAAAAAAAAAAAGAATTATTTGTGTATGAATGTTTTGTCTTCATGTGTGTATTCACACCACTTCTGTGCCTGGTGCCCATGGAGTCCAGAAGACAGCATCAGATCCTATGGCACTGTAGTTACAGATGGTTGTGAGCCACCATGTAGATGGTGGGAACTGAACTCTGATTCTCTGAGAGATCAGTAAGTCCTCTTAACCACTGAATTATTGAACCATCGAACCATCTCTCCAGCCCACTGCATATTATTTTAAAAAATATTTTGTTATTTTTATTTTATGTGTATGAGTGTATTGCCTATATGTATGTAAGTACACCCATATCATACAATGCCTGCAGAGGTCAGAACAGGGCGTTAGATTCCTTGAAACTGAAATTAAGGATGGGTGTTAGCTACCATGTTGTGGTGGTGGGAACTGAACTTGTGTCCTCCACAAGAGCAGCCAGTGCTCCTAACTGCTGGGCCATCTCTCCAGTCCCGATGATATGCTATTTTAATTTGCATGTGTAGGGTGTATGCCCATGTAAGTGTTCTTGTGTGCAGGTGTGTGTGTGCACCATGACTGGCTGGTTTTTGAAAATGAAATATATAGTTGCACTCATAGCGTGCTAAATCAAAAGCTGTACAACAATGAGAAACATGAGTGGGGCAAACTGCAAATACTAATGAAGACACTCATGAATACCCAGGTATCACTGAGCATCAAAAACCAACCTTTTGGGCTGGGTGTGATAGAGTGTGCCTTTAATCCCAGAGTTGGAGAGGCAAAGGCAGGTAGATCTCTGTGAGTTCCAGGCCAACTGGATCTACATTTCAAGTTCCAGGCCAGCCAGGGCTGCATAGTGAGACCCTGTCTGGAAAACAAAACAAAACAACAAAAACATTATTTTAGTCTCTTTCTTGTACATTACTCTGTATTCACTTTCTCTGTGTCTGATTGGATCTGTGGATTTTGTTTCATTTCCTGTGTGACATTTTCCTGAGATATATATCATTGGCTACAACTTTGAGGGTTGAACATCTTTCTAGGTGTCCATTACTAGTTCCTATGCAGCAAGGAAACTTCACTCCATACTTGAAACAACACACTACTGGCTCAGGCTGGTCTAGTATTCACTATGTACTTTTGTTCCTTTTAACTGTGACTTAGGCTATAGGATTTCCAGAACAGTATCCCTCTTCTTCCTTCCTTTCTTTCTTTCTTTCTCTTTCTTTCTTTCCCTTCCTTTCTTCCTCCTTCCTTCCTTCCCATCCTTCCTTTCCTTCCTTCCTTCCTCCTTCCTTCCTTCTTTCCTCCTTCCTTCCTTCCTTCCTTCCTTCCCTTCCTTCCTCCCTCCCTCCCTCCTTCCTTCCTTCCTTTCTTCCTTCCTTCCTTTCTTCCTTCCTTCCTTGCTTCCTTCCTTTCTTTTCTAATTAAGATAGTAAAATAGTGGCTGGAGAGATGTCTCAACAGTTAAGAGCACTGGTTGCTCTTGCAGAGGACCCAGGTTTGGTTCCCAGCACCCACAAGGAGGCTAACAACTATCTGTGACTCCAGTTCCAGGGGATCCCACACCCTCTTCTGATCTCCTCTGGCATCAGACATGCAAGTGGTGCACATACATACATGTAGGCAAACACTCATACATATAAAATAAACATTTTTAAAAAGATAATAGTAGGGCTGGAGAGATGGCTCAGTAGTTAAGAGCACTGGCTGCTCTTGCAAGGACCCAGGTTTAGTTCCCAGCACTCACGTGTCGGCTAACTGTTCTTAACTCCAGTTACAGGGGATTGCATCCATGTGGTGCCCTTACATACATTCAGGCAAAACACATAAAATAAAAATAAATACAGGCCTGCAATGTCGGTCAAAATGAGGAGACACAATGGAGGCAGATCGGAACTTCTGGGGTCGCTATGACCACAGTAACCAGCATAAGCTCAGCTGCCAGAATTATATGAAAAAGCAGACCTACTCGGTTAAGGGAAAGCGCCTAGGATGATTGGCCTTCTGCTGCTGCAAGCAAAGGGACTCGGAGATCAATCAGGCAGCAAAAGCAGAAAAGGGCAAATAAGAAGGAACCAAAGTAGCTCTGGGGCTTTGTGTCCAACCCTCTTGTCCTTTACCTGTGTGTGTTGGAGCCAGTCCCATCATGCTTTAGTTTCCTACTATGATGCATACAGGCCCCAGCACCCATGACAATTCCCTTTGCCCTGAGTCTGCAGCCAGACGCTTTGGGCTTCCTTCTCAGCCAGCCTCTCTGACCCTGGGCCACTCCTGGAGATGAAACATTTCACAGTGGTTTTTATTCCTGTGGGGCACACCCCAAAGTATTAAAAATAGCTTTGTAAAAAATAAACACATGCCAGGTGTGGTGGCGCACACCTGTAGTCCCAGAACTTGGGAGGCAGAGGAAGGCAGATCTCTGTGAGTTCAAGGCCAGCCTGGTCTACATAGTGAGTTCCAGGACAGCTGAAGCCACAGGGAGACCCTGTTTCAAAAAACTAAACAAATAAATAAAACAAGAACAAAAAAGCAACAAAAAGTGAATTTGTTATAAACAGTCTTCCCATGAATATTGTTTCAAAATCATCCATACTTGAAAACTTTGTAAAACCAGAAGTATCTCATTAGCTCACTTAATCCAAAAAGGGTTCATTACAACAACTTCATTTTTCCTTGTTTTTTCAAATTTTAATTACATTTTTTCATTTATTTGTGTGTGTGTGTACATGCCTGTGGACTTTTGCGTCACAGTGCACACAGAGAGGTCAGAGAACAACTTGTGAGAGTGAAATCTCTTCTTCTACCATGTAGGTCAGGTCATCAAGCTTGGCAGCAATTGCCTTTATCCGCTTACCTATCCCACCAGCCTGTTTCTTTTAGAGACTAATTTTTATATAGCCCAGACTGTCCTAGACCCCATATGTAGCCAAGGATAATCTTGAACTCCTGATTCTCCTCTACATCCACCTCCAAAGTGCTAGAATTGCATGCGTGTACCACCATGCCCTACTTTAAAAAAAAATTTATGTGTATGAGTGTTTTTACCTGCATGTAAGTGCCTTTGTGCATGCACTGCCTGCAGAGGCCAGAAGAGGGTGTCAGATCCCCTGGAACTGGAGTTATAAATGGTTGTTAGCTGCCGTGAGGGTGCTAGAAACCAAGCCTGGATACTCTGCAAGAGCAGTCAGTGCTTTTAACCACTGAGCCATCCCTCCAGCCCCATGCCTAGTTTTTAAATTTTATTTATTATTTATTTATTTATTTATTTATTTGGTCTTTTTGATACAGGGTCTCCCTGTAGCCCCAGCTTAAATTTTATTTTAATTAATTTAATTTTTTTTTTTTTGAGACAGTATCTTGCCTCAGGTTCATGATACTCAGGCCTCAGCCTCCTGAGTGCTGTACATCTATGCCAGACTCATTTAAACCACTCTGGAAGAAAACAGTATATATGCTTTTTCAAGTTATATCTATTCTATGACATGGGAAAGATGCTATTTTTCTATACTTACTGAAATTTTCAAACACGATAAAATTTAGTAATTTTTTTTTTTTTTTTTTTGGAGCTGAGGACTAAACCCAGGGCCTTGCGCTTGACCACTGAGCTAAATCCCCAACCCCCAAATTTAGTAATTTTACAAAGTATTTTAAACCTATCTCAATTCATTACAAAGGATGCAATGATAATTGAGTGAACATTAATAAGTAGCACAAATATATGGTCTCAGTTTTATTGAAATATAAACACCAAATAAGAATGGTATCTAGCCAGGTGTGGTGGTGAACACCTTTAATTCCAGTACTCAGGAGGCAGTGGCAGGGAAATCGCTATGAGATTGAGGCCACTTAGCGAGTTCCAGGCCAACTGGGGCTACATGGAGAAACTGTCAGAAAGAAAGAAAGAAAGAGAGAGAGAGAGAGAGAGAGAGAGAGAGAGAAAGAAAATTTTTTTTAAAGAGAAAGGGGGACTGGATAGACAACTTAGTGGTTAAGAGCATTGGCTGTTCTTGCAAAGGACCAGGGTTCAGTTCCCAGCACCCACATGGCAGCTAACAGCCATCCATAACTACAGTTCCAAGGGATCTGATGTCCTAATAAATAAAATATTTTTTAAATTTTCAAAATTTACTTATTTATATATGTATTTATTTATTAGTGTGTATATGTGTACACATGATGTGGGGCTCGTGTGGAGGTCACAAAACCCTGTTGAGTTGGTTCCCTTCTTCCACCTCCACATGGGTTCCAGGGATTGAACTTACATCATCAGACTTGGTTGGCAAGTGCCCACTGAGCTTTCTCACCAGCCCTTCTTCATATTCTTCAATGTATTCAGCATGCTGGAATACTTACTGTTATATTATCTAAAAATTTCACTTACATATTTTCTTTAAAATGACAGATTTAGATAGTGCGGCATTTGCAAAAGGGTAGAACAGAGCTGTGGAACAGCACAGAGACCCCAGAAACTGTCTTGAACAAGTCTGTTCCACTGATGTTTCTTCTGTTTCTGTTTTTTTTTTGAGACAAGGTCTCACTCTAGCCCAGGCAGACCTGAAATTCACGATGTTGGCTTCAAACTTCTGGCAATCCTCCTGTCTCCACCTCCTAAGTGCTGGGATTATAGGCATGAGCCACCATGCTTGCTTTTTTTCCCTGCTTTTTCCTTATAAAAAATAAGCAATAGCAAGAATTTATTGCTTGTTGGATTTCAATGTGAGAATTTCCCCCATTAAAAAAAAAAACAAAACATATGTGACATTTCTGACCATGAAGAATCTCATTCTGTCTCCTGGACACAGAGACTGCTCTCCAGAGAAGACATCTATGGTAAAGCAGCTGTGCACTTGTCATTAGATCAGTAACAGGGTCTGACTGGATCTCTCTGAGCCATGACTGCCCCTGGACTGAATGGGGTATTTATCACACTATTGTGGATAAATCAGCTGACTGTCATGCAGAAGGCCCTAGAGCCTGTCAATTAGCTCCTGTCCATTAGCCCTTGTCCAAACACAAACACTCTGGCAGTCACGTTATCAGTGTCCTCCAGACCCTGGAAGTGTGATCAGGCATGAGCTTGCTGTCTCCTACCATCCCTCATCTCCACTTGAACAAACTGTCAGTTAATCAGCTAATGTGGCTAAAAATGCTTGAAGCTGAAAAAATGCTCAGCTGGGCTATTATAATAACAAGCTGTTGGGCCCCCTCCCTGCAGCCCCTTCTTTTCCAAAGTCTACCCGCAAGACTCCTCTTTAGTCAAACAGAAAACTACACAGGGGGCCAAGAGAGATGGCTCAGCAGGTAAAAGCACTTGATGTCAAGCCTGACCACCTGAGTTTGATACCCTGGACCTACATGGTGAATGGAGAGAACCAACTCTTACAAACTGCCCTCTGACCACCACACTGCATGTGTGCTAACACACAACTCACAAACAATAAGTAAATGTAATAACTTTAAATTTTTTATTTATTTTCTTATTTGTATGAGTGTTTTTCCTGCATGTATGTAAAGTGCACCCATGACATGCAATGCTCGAGAAGATCAGAAATTGGTGTCGGATCCCCTGGAACTGGAGTTACGGACAGTTGTTAGCTGCCATGTGGATACTGGGAATTGCACCCTGGGTCATCTACAAGAGTAGCCAGTGCTCTTAACCCAAGTCATTTCTCCAGCCCCTAATAATTTTTTTAAACCAATTTCATTTTTTAAAAAAGAAAAAGTAGCCGGGCATGGTGGCGCACGCCTGTAGTCCCAGCACTTGGGAGGCAGAGGCAGGAGGACCTCTGTGAGTTCAAGGCCAGCCTGGTCTACATAGTGAGTTCTGGGACAATGGGGGCTACAGGGAGACCCTGTCTCAAAAAAAAAACCTGATCCCCCCAAGCAGCTCCCAAGGTGCCCAAAGTTACTGAAATTTAGTGCAGTTTCGCCAATGTCAAAATAGCAGCTTCTCCAAGATGCCCAGGGCAAACACATGTCCCTCTTGTCCACTTCCCCTCTCCAAAAGGTCTCTCCATGACTACAACTGACAGTACCTGATCTCACTTG